GGCACCTTGTGTGACCCTGTGCAGCAGCTCCATCCCCTCCTGGCACCTTGTGTGACCCTGTGCAGCAGCAGCAGCTCCATCCCCTCCCGGACACCTTGTGTGACCCTGTGCAGCAGCTCCATCGCCTCCTGGGACACCTTGTGTGACCCTGTGCAGCAGCTCCATCCCCTCCCGGACACCTTGTGTGACCCTGTGCAGCAGCTCGCTGCCATCCCCGCAATCCGGAGCCGTGCAATGTGCGCTCCTGCTGCCCAGCCTTCCTGGCCTGCCCCTCGCGTGCAGTGTTACTGGCCGGTGCGCGTTGCAAGAGCTGCAGCGCATCTCCTGGTGCAGCAGCTGCTGCACAACAACCCTCCGATGTGCCTAGGGATGCAGGGCGCCCCCAAACCCCTTTTGCTTCCCTGTATCTTCAGATAGCAAAACACTTCAAATCTGTCTCAGCGTGGGGTCAAAAGGCAGGATATCAAAAGCCTAGAACAAGCCCTGCTTGCCCTGAGCTCTCGTGAAAGCTCATGAGGAGCGTGGGGCTAGAGGGGGCCGCTCGGCACGTGCCGAAGCTGCTGAGCTGCTTCCCCAGCGTGTGGGGTGGCGGATGTACGAGGCAGGTGCTGAGGAGCACGAGGCCGCGGCAGAGCGGGCACGCGACAGCTCGGGCGCTGCCGGCGCCAGCGGCACGCGTGCCACGAGGGGTGGCCTTGCGGATAAACAGCTGGGACAGAGCGCAAGCGCAATTCCCTGCTCCTCGGGGGAGGTTTTAGAGGCGTTCAGGTGCCTCTCCCAGGTGTTGCGCTTGGAGGTTGTGTTCTCGAGGCGCTGGTGAGGGTGCAAGGTTCTGAAAACCTGCTGCGTATCCTCCTCTGGATGCACAGGGAAGGACGGTGCAACTTCCCCTTGCACCTTCTGAACAATTTTCATGCCTCTCCGTTCTGCCTGTGGTGAGAAGGTGCAAGTCTGTGAGGAACTGAAACCACAAAGAGATCATTTGCCTGTGTGTACCTATATATATTTATAGGTGCATATGGTTATTTGCTCTCCAACCCTGTTTTGGTTGCAAATCCCATGCTTATTAGGGAATTACTTTAAAGGAATGTGCAGGAATTGCCAATAAGGGGAGTGCCCTCCAAACAGGGGTGCTGTGGAGGCTGGTAGGAGAAGGATGGTGCCCAGGAGCATCCAGATGGACTTGTTCTTGTCTAGTGGAAAGTTTGCTGAGGCGGCCTCTCAAGTTTTCCATTGAGGGAGAGTTTGCCTACGAGGTGCCATAGTTATGCAAGACAAATTACCCAGGTCCTAATCGTTCTTTGAGAACAGGATCAGCCCTCGCAGCTTGCGTGAGAGTTGGACTCGGCGTCTGTGGGACTCCTGCCACTCCTTCTGCTGCGGAAAGCATTGCCAAGATCCTGAGCAAATATTTAAGGCTTAACCACATCTGATAAGCAAAAGCTCCAAAAGTGGAGGCAAAGAGCATTGTTAGCCCAACGCACAGACACTTCTGAGGTATTTCTATAAAGGGCGATCAAAAACCAAGTTTCTTTCTCCCCTTTTGAGGGAGACATTGACAAAAAAAAAAGTATTTTTTTGGCCAAAACCTCGGCCAAAACCTCGTTACGGGGCCTTTGCGTGGGGAGACCCGAATGGCCTGGGCCATGAGCCCCGGGGCTCTGCAGGAACTTTGCTGCTGCAGGACACAGGGTGTGGGGCAGGGACATCTGCAGCCCTGCTTCCATCAAACCCTGTTGATTTAGCCCTGCTCTGGAGTTGGCTTGGAGAGGTGGCTCCACGAGTGACTTTTGTACAGGCTTGTGCTTTTCCTGCTCTGCAAACTCATGCCCCAGAGGTCTGGTTGTTCCTCACAGTAAACAGTGATTGCAGAGCTTGGCAAGGCGCAGCAGGCTGCTCTCCCCAGGCTGGATATTCTCAACTAGGTCCTAGGGCAGGATTTAAGCATATAAAACTAACTGCAAAGAAGCTGGAGATTTTTAAGATGAGTTCTTTAATTGCTACAGAAAAAAAAAAAAAAAAAAAAAAAAAACCTCTCCAACAAATACTTAAGAACAAGAGCAAGAAACAGTGGTGAATTCTGTGGCAAAGGAAGATCCAGGAGATGAAAACAAAGCTGGACAAGTTCAGACTAGAACTAAGGTGCACAATTTAAGCAGTGGAGGTGATTAAGCACTAGAACAACTTCCCTGGGGGGAAGGTGAATTTGCCATAGCTGCAAGTCCTTAAATCAAAGCTGAGAGCCTCTCTCTAAGAGGCGCCTTGGAGCTCAATGGGAATTTACGGCCTTGCTCAGGGAACTGGTGGGTGAAAATCCCATTGCAGGGAAGCGGGAGCCAATCCGGCACACAGCACACGGACGCAGGAATTGCCTGGGAAAGGATGTTGCTGCTGACGGAGGCAGGGAGGGAGCCAGCCCTGTGCTGCCCTGTGCCTGCCGGTGACACAGGTGGCCCAGCAGGAGCCAAAGCCCCGTGACCGCCCTCGTCCCGCGGCTCCCCGTGGCCACGGGCAGGTGTCCGGCGCTGCGGGGCCCTTGGCGCTGTGCTGGCTCCGCACGGCTGTGCAGGGACGGGCGTTTTCGCCAGGAAGCGCCGGCCGCCCCGGGGCCTCCCCTGAACCTGATGTCATCCCTGGAGGGAGCAGCCAGATGTTTTCCCCTTGAGTCAGGTGCTGCGGGACCCGCCCGCCGCGCTGCAGGTCCCGGCAGGCGCCCGGCGCGCCGCGCTCGCCGCGGCCCCCGAGCTGACGTGACCGCGGGTAACCCGGCGCCTGCGCCCGCCGGCACCCGCCGCGTCGCTCCGACTCGCGACGGGGCGAGAAATCCGCCCGCTTAGGTGCTTAGCGAAGGGCCCGTTTTGGGCCGTGCCGCGCTCAGCCACGCGGCGCTTTGTCCTTGTCCTTGTGGCCCCAAAGATTAGCAGGCAGAGGAGCCGCGTGTCCCGCAGCTGCCAGCCCGCTCCAGCCACATCTCTGTGCCCGCAGACTTCAAGTACATCGAGATGACGCCGGCCAGGGCCCCGTGCCGGGAGCTGCTGCAGGGCTCGCCCAGCTCGCCGCTCTCCTCCTCGCCGCAAGACCCCTGGCCCCACAGAGGAGGGCTCCTCTGCAGCCCGCCGGGCTCCGAGAGCATCGCCATCCCGCCGGCGGAGGGCACGTCCTGCAGCCCCGGGGCGCCCCTCGGAGCGTCGCCCGCCCGCGACGCGCTGCGGAGGGCGCTGCACGTGGCGAGGGCGCCGCAGAGGGGCAGCGGCATCTCCCTGCTCTCCAACAGCCCCGGCTCGGACACCAGCTACGTCCTGGGCAGGTAAACGCGGCCTCGCGACCCCGCCGGGCATGGGGACGGGCACCAGAGGAGGGACGGCCGAGGATGGTGCCCATCCGAGCAGGGCTGAGCCCTCCCTGCAGCCCGGGGCCGCTCCGTGCTGCAGACTCCCCAGCTCATCCGATTCTTGTGCCTGTTACCTGCCTCTTCCCGCAGCAGCACCCACTCGCTGCCCAGCGACGATTCCGATGCTGCCTGCGCTGGTGGCCGCTCGCCCGAGCGCCTGTCCCCCGCGGGACCCCTCGGCAGCCCCTGCCCGTCTTCCCTGGGCGTCCGACCTCCCGCCGGAGACGCCTTTGGGCCCGACTCCTTGCGGCCCAGGCCGAGCTGCTCCGCCAAAGCCAGCGCGTCGCCGCCGCAGAAGGGCCAGGCCAGCAGCTGCCCCGCTTCCATCGTGAGCGCCGCAGCCGACGTCCCCGTGCTGCTGGTGAACGGGTGCCCGGAGCGCGCGGACGCAGCCGGAGGCGCCGCGGCCCCGGCGGAGCAGAGCCCCACTCCCGGCTGTGGCCCCTGCCTGGTGCCCGGCGCCCTCAACAACGCGCTGTCGGCCCCGCTGCTCTCCTGCGTCCCCGACAGTGAGTCACCTCCGCGCGCCAGCCCTGCCGGCCCCCCAGCAAGCTCCTGAGGTGCAGGGTCCATGGGCAGAAGTGTCCTGGTCCCGCTGAAGGAGGTGCAGGTGCGCTCGCTTGCAGCCCCCCAGAACAAGGGCCACGATGTTGGCCTGTCGCTCTGCTTGGGAGACCCGAACGGGTGCGCGGAGCGGGTCTGGAGGAAATGGAAAAGACGCCCAGCCCATATAATGTGCCCTCGTACAGGACTGAGCAACAGGGCTGTTGTTGGGTGGAGATTAGCAGAGGTGGCAGTCGGGGTTTAAGGTTTTATTGGGATCCTCATGGGAAAAGGAGCGGGGCTGTAGCGGGTCAGATCCTTGGCTGGTGAAACCCCCCCGAGCTGCTGGGCTCCTGTGGTGCTGCCGGGGCACCTTGCGCGCTGCCCCCCGCTCAGCCGCACAACGGTGGTTATGGGCGGAAGGGAGCGCTGTGAGGAAGCCCTGATCCAAAGGATTGAGGGGGAAAATCACACAAACAAACAAAAAAACCCTTCAACCTCGGCCAGCTTAAAAGAGAAACATCTCATGTTCTGGTAGCTCTGTTCTCCTTGGTGGTGTTGGCCGTGACAGTCCTCGTGATCCATGTCCCTGACACCCAACCTCTGTCCCCGCGCAGAGGGGATGTCTTCCTTGCTCTGCTTCAAGGCGCTGCGTCTCTTGCAGGTCCCCCCAGAGATGGGCAACCCACCATGAAGTTTGTGATGGACACGTCGAAATACTGGTTCAAGCCAAGCATAACCAGGGAACAAGGTAGCGCAGGTGTCTTGGCTGGGATAAGCCCACGTTAGGCTCGCTCCCTGCGGCTCGGCAGGAAGGCTGCCTGCTCCTCGGCGTGCCCTTTGCTCCTCTGCGGTGGGTGAGCTCTGCTCCGAGCAGTGCTGTGGCCCTGGGTGACTTGGTGATGACGATGAAAAGCCCAGTGGGGGCTGCTGGGCGCGGGGGAGCTGTTCGCTAGCCAGGTTGGGAGGCTGAGCGGTGCCAGCTGAGCCACGGCTCCGTGTCCCCTGCGTGTCCTGCACGGACTGGCCCACTTTAGCGGTGCTGGCGCTGCTCACCGGGGCTCTCAAAGGGGCTGGCTCCGCTCTGCAGCCCCCAGAGCCCAGCTCCGTGAACCCCCAGGCACAGGGCGACACATGGGGCTGAGCCAGGGTCCCCGGGATAGGAAATGCACTGAGGGCTGGAGCTGCCTGGCTGGCACCGTGATCCCAGCTGGAGCTGCCCCGTGCCGGGCCCTGGGGTTGGCAACCACACGGGGGACATGAGGGCTCAGCAGCCTCCTGGTTTCTCCTTGGGCTCCGGGTGGAATTGTGGGCAGGGTGCGTGGCAGGAGCGCCCGCCCGCTCTGCTCCGCTCACCCCCTGCCTGTGCTCTCCCAGCGATCCAGCTGCTGAAGGACAAGGAGCCAGGCACGTTCGTTGTGCGGGACAGCACGTCCTACCGGGGCTCCTTTGGCCTCGCCATGAAGGTCCCCGTCCCTCCATCAGGCAGCCAGACAGGTATGGGCGCTCGCGCCCAAGGAGGGTGCTCCGGGGTGGGAAGCACCATGGGCTGCGTGACGCAGGGCTCGGATGTGCTGAAAAGCCGCAGGGCTCCTGGTCTGCGGGAGAGGGGTCCGTGCGTGCGGATCTCATCCCCGCGCAGCGAGTCCTGCCCCGCGGCCGTCCCGGGAGCCCCGGTGTGAAGCAGCCGCCCCGCGGCGGGCGCTGATGCTGCCTCGGTCTCCCTTCAAGGCGACGACAGCGGTGACCTCGTCCGGCACTTCCTCATCGAGTCCTCTGCCAAAGGGGTGCACTTGAAGGGGGCCGGCGAGCAGCTCTATTTCGGTAAGCGGGCGCGGGCTCTGCCCGAAGCTGCTGGCGGGCGCAGGGCTCCTCGCTCCCCAAACGGGAGGTTTTTGGGGACTGACGCTGTGCTCCGCGTTGCAGGGAGCCTCTCAGCCTTCGTGTACCAGCACGCCATGACGGCGCTGGCGCTGCCCTGCCGCCTCCGCATCCCCGGCCGAGGTAGGAGCCCCAGCGGCGGGCAAGGGAAGGGGTACCCTAGGGTACCTGCGACGGGTACCCTCCGAGCCGCCTCCTGCTCCAGCACAGGGCTGAGCGGCGCGGGCGCCCTATGGAAGCGGAGCAGGGAACTGCACCGTTTGCTGGGATGGAGCGTGGCCAGGCAGGCCCGTGAGGGACGGGGGCTGCTGAGAGAGGAGGAGTGGGGAAAAGGGAGAGGAACCGGGCCAGGAGAGCTGGGGAAGAGGGGGATGGAGAATTAAACGGATTACTGCCTAACGGCCCGCGACTCGCGCTCCTAGCCCGTGTGTGGGAAGGAATTTCCCTGTGGACACCAGCACTGCTGCTTGTTGCTTTTGCAGATCTCGCCGATGGGGAGAACAGCCCCGAGTGGGCTCCAGAATCTGCAGGGGCTCTGCTGCAGAAAACTGCTGGTAAGGAAAGGATCGGGGCCCTTGCCCAAAGGACACCTAAATTGCCCCAAACTAGAGCCTAGAGCTCCAGGCTTGAGAGTTCTGCAGTTCCCAAGCCTGGTGAAAACCTCAAAGCTCCCCGAGGTTTAACTGAGAGCCCTGGGACCTGGTGGGAGACGCTTAGAAACTCCCGACGGGGAGAAGGTCTCTGCTTCTCCCCTGCACCCTGGTGTGCAGAGCCCTTGGTTGTTGTGGGGGCTGCAGGTGAGAACAGGGCGATGGGGAAGAGGCAGCGCTGACAGGTCACGGTGCAGTCGTGGGAACCGAAAGAGCTCGATTTTGCTGCAAATTCTGAAAAATAAGCTGGCAAGCGGAAAAGTTTAGTTTGACCCAGAACAGTCCTTTAAACATTTCAGACTGAAATGTCATGTTTTACGTTGCGCTTGAACAGTTAGTCAGCTTGGGGCATTTCTGCTTTTCATTAAAGGAAATATGTTATAAACAAACAAAAAAAAAAAAAAAACCCAAATGCAGCATTTGGAAACCGGAAATGAAAACTTTGACTTTTAAAACAATTAGTGCAGAGAATTAAAGTAAACCAAAATAAATTTGTGAAGTATTTCTGCGTCACTAAAGCCCTAGTTTGCTGCTGACCCTCCAGAAACGTGCCCAGCTCTGCGTGGCGATGCCCTGGCCCCGCGGCTCCTGCCCGGGGCTCTGCGTGCGCTGCGGGCAGAGCGGCGCCGCACTACCTGCAATGAGCTGCGTCTGTGCTCTCCCTGCAGCGTGCAACGTCCTGTACCTCAACTCGGTGACCGTGGAGACGCTGACGGCGGCCCCGGCCATCCAGAAGGCCGTCTCGAGCACCTTCGAGCTGGAGACGCTGCCCACGCCGACGCTCGTGCACTTCAAGGCGAGCGAGCAGGGCGTCACGCTGACCGACGTCCAGAGGAAGTAAGGAAGGGTCTCGGGTGCGCGGCGCCGCTCGGAGCTGCTGGGGGAAAAGGGGGGAAGCGGAAGGGCTTGTGAGGCTGCACCCCGTTCCTCAGCTGTGAGCCCGGCTTCCTTCTTGCCCGTTATTCTCCCCACTTGCTGATTTGCCACTGATCAAGAGAAAAACTGGCGTGCTAGGACAAACGCGTGTCGTAACGCAGGGATGGACTCGACCTGTTGGTTTTACAGCACAGGGCAGGAGTCCCGCGGCCTCGCCAAGCACGTCGCTAACGCCGCTCTCCTCCGCTTCCCGACAGGGTGTTTTTCAGGAGACACTATCCCCTGGCTTCCGTGCGGTTCTGCGGGATGGATCCGGAGAACAGAAAGTGAGTTGGGGAGCTGCGGAGTTTGTGCTGCTGAGCGGGGCTGCTCCTCCTGGCGTCGCAGCAGAGCGAGCCCGGGGAGCCCACGGGGTCCTGGGCCGAGCACCCACCTCCGCTCCCTCTCCCGTGCTGTCGCCCTGGCTGAACCCCTGGGGCTTTGGCAAAGCAGGAGCCCTGACTTTGCAGCTTGTTGCACGGGTTAAGCGTTGCTGCTGTGAGCTAATCCTGCCCTGCTCTTCCCTCAGGTGGCAGAAGTACTGCCGGGCCTCCAGGTAAGCCGAGCTCAAGGGCTGCGCACAGGGGCCGGGCGGGCACCGTGTGAATCCCATAACCCGCCGCCTCTTTGCTCTGGCCTCGGGAAGGGAGCTCGTATCTGGCTCTACCTAAAGCTCCGAAAGCTTTTTACAGTTGGGAAGGTCTTGCCAGAAATCCTTGGCCCCAAGTATTTTCCTTCCAAGCAAACGTGCTTGGGGAGCGGGCCAAGGCAGCGCCGGGGCTGGGATTCTGCTCCGGGGCCGGGCTAGTTCAAGCATATTCCTCTGGATTCCTGAGGGCAAGCTAAGCTAGGCTCTCTCCTTTTATTTTTCAAAGAATCTTTGGGTTTGTGGCCAAAAGCCAGACGGATTCGGAGAACGTCTGTCACCTGTTTGCCGAGTACGACACCGTGCAGCCGGCGTCCCTCGTCATCGACTTTGTCAGCAAGCTTCTGCCAGGCCCGTAGAGGACACGAATGCTGGGACTGTGGGGCTGGTGCTGCCCCTGTCCTGCTGAGACCGTTCCTCACTTCTTCCTGCTTCTGTGTTGCATTTTGGCAACAGCTCCTATTTATGTTTTTGTGTTACGTACTGCGGTGCCGAGAGGTTCGGCTAAAGGTTTTATACTCGCTGCTCCGTTCTTGGAAGCCTCTGCTGGGATCAGATGTTCTTGCGAGGCCTCCACGAGCAATCGCCCCATATGGAAGCGTTCACCGCGGCGGCAACTGCGGCCGGATCCCAGCACGTGGAAAGCCGGGCCTGGCGCCGGGGCCGGCGCGTGCGCGCGAGCCGGGCCTGCCTTGCGAAACCACTGGCGTGCGCGCCTGGCACCGGCACCTCCCGCCCGCCCCGGAGCGCTCACCGGCTCCGCTTCCCGCCCGCACGGGGCTGCCTGGGCTCCGGGGGGCTAAGGAGAGGCACGGGGCCCCCCTGTGCTCCCCGCTGCGGAGCATCCACCCAGACACCCCCTTCTCGCACGGGCACCCCAAGCTGGGCTGGTGGAGATGGGGAGACGCCTCGACCTTGAGGCCAGACCTGTATCAGCCCTGCAAATCAAAGCCTCTCGAAGGCTTCGAAGGGAGGGATGGCGCGTCCCCGAGGGGCAGGACGCGGCCGCGGGCAGCGCGGCAGCACCAGCACCCCTGCCCTTTCCCGCAGCGCGGGGTAGAGGCTCGCGCGGCCTCCGCGTGGCGCGTGGAGCTGACAAGGAAGCGTTGACATTTTCCCGACAGGAGAACTGGGGGGTTTGGACGTGATTCGCATGGCGCTGGGCCAGATCCTCGGCTGACGTAAACTGGCGCAGCCCCGCGAGGGCCGGCGCTGCTCTGATTCGGCCCAGCTGAAGCTCTCGCCCGCGGGTTGCGGCCGCGGAGCCGCTCTGCATCCAGCGCCTCCTCTGCCCTCCTTCCCCCCTCGCTTCCCTTGCACCGGGCCTTGCTGCGCTGGGGCCCTGTGCGCTAACCAACCCGGCTTAGGGGCATTTTCAATAAACCAGGGGTTATTTATCTCCCCCAAACCGTGATAGAGGCTTTTAGCAATGGAAACGCGCGGCTTTGCTCTCTCGAGCTGCCAAGCGCACGTATGCTTGCACGTAAGGGAAAAGACTTTGAAAGTGTGTCCAAGCGAAACAGCTCCTTGGCAGCGGTGGAAATAGCGGCCCGGGCTCCCCGGCGTGCGGAGGCAGAGGCCACGCGAGGCCGGAGCGTGCGGAGGCCGGAGCCGGCTCTTCCCGGCCTCGCGGGCGCCTTCCCGAAACTGCGGCTCCCTGCGCGCCCTCACGGTCCCGCGGGGGCTGCGAGGAGCCGGGGCGCCGCGGGGAGAGCCGCTCTGCTCCAGCAACCACCCCGAGGGCTCTGTGCTTTCCGGGTAGGGGGGCAAGGGATGCTTTGGGAGGAGGGAAGCGGCTCCGCTCCAACCTCCCCCTCGGCACTTGGAATCCCACATTCACTGAGAGCCTTTTTCCTGGGAAACGTAGCCAGAGCATCAGTTCGGGCACCGTGCTGTGCTTCAGCCAAAGCCACCTGATGCAGGAAAAAAGCCACCAATTCCCCGAGCTGCCCACGGGTTCCAGCGTGTGTCGCGGCTCCCTGGAAGCGCAGCGCATGGAGGCAGCTCCGAGGGCCAGCTCCATCCTCGGGGGAGTATGTCCCCCGGTCAGGGACCCGTGTCCCTGCACTGGGCGGCCGTGCGGTGCCCCTGCTCACGTGCAGCGCTCCTAGCAGCGACGCAAGGACCAAACACGCACTAATAACCACGGCAATTAAATACGGCAATTATCTTTTTTTTTTTTTTTTGTTCCTTTTTCTTCTTTTTGTCCATACAAAGCTTCAAGTTTACTGGTAGGAGAGGGACATGGCTACACACGGAGGGAGCTGGAGCTCAGCGGCGGTGCCGGAGCGCGCAGCCGCCACCGCCGCAGCCATGGGTGGAAAAACAGCAAAAATGGGGCAAGGAGACGGTGCAAAATGTCCCATCCCGGGCGCTTCATTAAAACTGAAACGTCTCCCGGCGCGGGGCCGCTGAGCCACCCGCTCCGGAGCCCCTTGGGAAGCAGGAGCAGAGCCGCCATGGGGCTGGAGCAGCTGCAGAGTCGCTTCCGTCTTTGGCAGATTCCCCCTTGCACCCAAAAGAGCCGTTTTTCACCCCAAAGCCCTGCAGCTGCGGCCTTCCTGGCCAGCTCTGCACAAGCGCATCAAAAAATAGTAAAAATCTACAAAAATAGTGATTTTTTTTTTCCGGCAGGAGCCGCTGCGCTATCCCCGGCCCCAGCGTTTGCGGTGCCAAAGCAAACAGGGATTCATCCCGTTTTGCTCCCACGGGCCGAGCCCAAGGCACGGGGACAAGACGCCGGCGCGGAGGAGGCCGGGGCTGCTCCCGGCTCCAGCGAAGCGACCCCGGCGCGCCCGGGCTCCGGGCGGGCAGCGCCGTCCTGCGAGCGCCCAAGTGTCCGTGCGCCGCCGCGGGAGCGCCGAGGCCGCGGCGGGGCCCCGGCGGCAACGTTCACATGCTGTCGGCCGCCTGGTGACAGTCCAGGTCCCCCGGGAGCTCCAGGAAGCCGGGCAGCTTCACCCCGGTCTTGCGGTCCACGCACCAGCACTTGCCGCGCTGCCCGTCCAGCGCCGGGTGACACTGTGGAGGGGCAGGCGCTGCCACGGGGCCGCCCCATCCCGCGGCATTCCCGGCTGGAATCGCGGCCCCGCTGCCCCAGGAGCGCCCCCCCACCGCGGCGCGCGCCTACCTGCTTGGGGTGGAAGTTGCCGTTGCGGTCGCAGTTGGGGATGGGGATGACGTAGAGGTCCTCATGCGTGCGGCTCTGCGACGCCGCCAGCCGCTCCAGCGCGCGGTGCAGCTCGCTCTGGCACGAGCCCTGCGCCTGCGGGACCGGGGCGCTGAGCGGGGCCCCTCCGAGCACCCCCCACGGTCCCCAGCCCCCTGTCCCCTCCTCACTATGGGCCGGCTCTCCTCCCGGTGGCTCCCGCTGCTCCTCATCTTGTTGCCGTTGCCGACGCGCTTCGCCTGCTGCTTCTGCAGGCACTTGCGGTCCTGGAGGCTGCAGGGGCTGAAGCTGTTGTTGGGGTGCTCGATCTCCTCCTTCTCTGCAAGGACAGAGCCGGCGGGTCGGCGACATGCCAGGTGCTCCCGCAAAGCCGCACAGGGCTCCCAGGAGCATTCCCGGTGGGATAGCTGCCCTTCCTGTGCATGCTTCTGTGCATTTGTGATTGCAGTGTGTCCCTGCGCTGCACAGGGCCTGCCGGCCACATGCCCTGGCCTCTGGGGCCACCCGTGTCCCTGGAGACCCCCGGGGACGGGGAAGCAAAGGGACCGCGGACGTCGATAGCTGGGACACGAGTGTTGCAGGAGCAGCAAGCAACATTTCTCCAGAACCTGCAAGTTCTGCTCATTCCAGCATCCTGAAAGCCCCGAGTTTGGTTCAAGCAACATTTTCCCATTGTAAACGAGAGCCAGAGGGGTCCCGCACCCCCAGGCCGCCAGGAGGAGGGACGTGGATGAGACCCCCAGGCACAGCCTGACGGAGCAGTGAGCCAAGAGGAAAAGCTTCCCGAAAGAGGAGGGCAGAGCTGGCGCGGGCAGAGCCGTCGCTGCCGGGGGAGCGGGACGCACGCCGGAGCCGCTGCGTGCCGACGCCAAGGGCTCGCGCAACAGCCTGGCGGCCTGGCTAAAGTTCACGGCAAATCCCTGCGGACAAGTCCCGCTCCTTCGCTCGGGGCTGTTTGCTCTTCGTTTAATATGTCCTATTTTTCCAGGAAATGGCTCAGGGCCTTGAAATTTGACACACAACCCGCGGCTGCCCCGTGCCGCGGCGGCGGCCGAGCGGCGCGGGGCCAGCACGGAGCGTGTCGCAAGGCCGGCGCTCGGCCGCCCCCGTGCCCGCTGCATCGCCGGGCACCGTTTAAGCAAAACCAGGTGCCGGCAACGGTTCCGGGAGGTCCCGCAGAGCAGGCGGCACCGCGGGGCCGCGCGGGACCAAGCCGGGCTCGGAGACGCTTTATTTAGCCTCTTTACACCCAGGTGAGGAGGAGGCTTCCTAAATGCAGAAACCTGCAAAAGGTGGTGGAAATGGGAGGTGGCATCCACTGGAGCAGTCTGAAAAGTGGCCCACACTGCTGGCCTGGCCAGGTGCCCCATCCCACGCATGGGGCGAGGATCCATCTCCCCTGCAGCTTCCAGTGGGTCATTTTTCCCTGGATGCAATTATTTACCCAGCATTAAAGCACGCCTCACTACAGGCCATGTGCTGGGAAAAAGCTCCTCAGCTTTTCCGGGATGCCACATCCCGGCGGAGGGGCCGGCCTGCGGCACTGGGACAGGCCCGGCTCCAGCTCCCAGTGCCAGCGGTGCAGGGAGCCACCGCGGAGCAGGGAGCCCCAGTGCAGCCCCTCCAAAACCCCCGCCCACCGCAGCCCCCGCTGCCGCCTCCCAGCTCTTCCCTGGAATGCAGCATTCCCGGCGCCCCACAAAGCGTTTGCAGTTCTGGATCCGCATTAACCGCTTCCCAGCCACGACCGCCCCACGCGGATACCGTGCACTGCCCGGCAGCACCTGCTCCCACCTCCACTGGTGCCAGGAATAACAGGACCATGAGCCGCCGTGCCCCAGCAATGGGCCCAGCCTGCAGATTTCCACCCAGGAACAGGGGGGCCATGAAGCGCCCAGCTCCATGTGGCAGCTTCCCGGCAGGATCTCCCCAGAGCGCGGCCAGGCCTGGCACTGCCAGGCTGCGCAGCGGCTGCTCCTGCCCTCCTGCCCATGGACCGTCCTGGCAGGGCGCTGCTCCGCTCGCTGCGCCGCAGGCCTCCCCCTGAGCCAGGCACCCGCAGCAGGACCCTCCTCGGCTCACGCAGGGCCACGGTAGGATAAGCCTGGCACGAAAGAGGGGGAAAGCGCAACAGGCTACGCCCAGGAGCAGGACAGTAACAGGGACAGGGATGGGGTGGCTGCTCTGCTGCAGCCCTCCTGGCCCACGCCGCTCTTGCCACAGCGCTGGCCCGCACACAGGTGCCCGTGGCTCGGTGGGAAGCAGGTGCCCGAGGCCTCATTCCTGTTTCCTTCTGGCAGAGCCACCGGCAGCAGCCCTAGGATGGGGAGCAGGGGCTCACGGGGATGGAGCATCCCCAGGTGTGGGCGGCTGCAGGACCCCGAGCACTGTCCTGTCAGCCCCCCAGCACTGGCCATATCCTGCCTGGCACAAGGGTGGGTTGTCCTGGTGCCACTCGTCACGGCACTGCCATGCGGGGTGCAGCGAAGGATGGACTCAATGTGCACGGGAATATTGAGCGCTCCCAGTTCATCTCCAGCTCATCCCGCCCTGGGCACTGAGCCCCCATCCCGCCTTGCTCCCATGTGCGCTGGGCAAGCGATGCTGGAGCGAGCAGGACCAGGAGGCCGGGATGCTCGGGGAGCACATCCCATAGTGCTGGAGCGAGCGGGACCAGGAGGCCGGGATGCTCGGGGAGCACATCCCATAGTGCTGGAGCGAGCAAGACCAGGAGGCCGGGATGCTCAGGGAGCACATCCCATAGTGCTGGAGCGAGCAGGACCAGGAGGCCGGGATGCTCAGGGAGCACAGCCCGTAGTGCTGGAGCAGGCAGAGGCATGGACCAGGGATGCTTGGGGCACTGCAGCCCGCAGCAGTGGAGCAAGCAGGACCGGGATGCTTGGGGCACTGCTGCCCGCAGCACTGCAGCGAGCAGGACCGAGGCCCAGGGATGCTCATGCACCACAGCCCAGGGTGGCAAGACGGAGGCCGGTGGGCATGCGGGCCTGGCCTTACCTTGGGGCTGCAGGCTCTCCTGGATGGCCTCCACGTCGGCCAGGTCGGTGCAGACGCCCTGGCCGTGCATGAGGGTGCGCAGCGGGCGCGGCTCGCCGCGGGGCGGGTAGCAGCGCAGCCCCGCGCCGCAGCGCGCCGTGTAGACGCCGCAGGCGGTGCCGCGCGCGAGCGCGCAGGTG